CGTGAAGCTGGTCCTGAAAGGGCATCACTGAAACCGCGGTTTGCTTGCTGACCGGCTTGAGCTCCTCCCGGTCCAGCTTGCGTCTGTACAGCAGGAAGGCGTGGATGGCGTTGCCCGCCCTGGCCGCCTGGATGTGCGTGGGCACCACGTACAGCAGGTCCTGGAAGGGAAGGCGGGTCAGGGGGGAGCGCAGGGCGGGGCACTTGGCACTGAGATCGCCCCCTGGGGAAACCGCGCCCGCGTCTCATTCCCTGCACTCTGCCAACGGCACTTAGCATTCTCATCGTTTCCCTTTAATCCTCACTCGCGCATGTTTTTACTGATTTTTAGAGAAGGGAGAGAGAGACACACACACACACACGCATGAATGTGAGAGAGACGGTCGACCAGTCACCTCCCGAACGCACCCTGACCGGAATTCGAACCCGCAACCTTTCGGTGTGCAGGACGATGCTCCGGCCCACCGAGCCACCCGGCCGGGGCTTTTTTTATGTTTTGTTAAGAACGCAAACCCCCGAGGAAGTCTTGGGTTCGTGAAGGTAACAGTACGTTTTAAAGTTAAAACTTTAAATGACTGGAATTCAAATGGAAAGGCGGCAGCGGGGCCCTGTCCCAAACACCCTCACGCGACGGACGCGTAAGGAGAACACGGGGAGAGAGAAGGCGGCCGGGCGGGGAGGGCTCCCAGGGGCAGCAGCGGGCCGGGGGTGGCCTTCCGCGCCCAGCGGCACAGCGCCCGCAGCCTCCCGAAGCTGCGGGACACGTTCCTAAGGGTCACCTTCCGTGGCGGGAAGAAAAGGCCGAGGGACGTGGGTCTGCGCCCACGGCGACCCCGCTGGTGCAGGAGACACGCTCCGGGGAGGAGGGCGCCCGGCGGGCAGGTCCCCTCCGAGCCCCGGGCCAGCCCCGCTCCCGCCGCCCGAGAGGGTTTCTGACGGGGAAACGAGAGCAAACTTAAGGAAAAACGCAGAAGGAAAGAGCAAACAGTGGCAAGAAATACAGAAAAAAGGGGGGCGAAGAACAGAAAGGGGCAGAGAAAGAACTGGACTCGCCGGGCACCAGGCTGAGGGGCTTCACACAAAATACCGACAGGCGACCTGTGCCCCCCAAGACCGCCAGTGTCTCAACAGGCCAGACACGGGAAAATGACACGTGACCCGCGACTCCATGGCGTCCCGGGGAGCCGGTCCCGCTCAGCGTGCGGGCTGGGGGTCAACCCCCCGAGCCCCTCTGGCGGCGGCGCAGCGCTGTTAGGAAAAGGCGGGGCTCCCGCTCTGATGGGGGAAGTCGGGGTTCCTGCTTCGACCCAAACTCCCTGCAGGACTCTGTGCCCTGGAGCCACCTCGTAAACACAAAAGGGCGTCCCTGTGGCTCTCTGGTGGGGGGAGCGGGTCCTGGGCTCCCGGGGGGGGCATGAAGCCTTGGGCAGAGGGAGCAAAACAGGGGGGGCCCGGGTCGAGCCCCCGAGCTTCCCCAGGCAGCCGGCAGGGCCCGAGGACTCACCATGGCGTAGTAGTTGCTGTTCACCATCAGCGGGCCCCGGCCTCGGAGGTAGATGTATTCCTCCCACCAGTCGCTCACCTGTGGGTGCGAACAGACACGTCGCTCAACAAGAGTGACGCAGGCCGGCGGGGCTGGGCGCTTAGTGCAAGCAAACGGGAGACGGGACGTGGGTATTTTTAAAGTCGTAACGTAGATAGAGGGCAGATCACCTTCATTTTACAGATGGTTAAAAAAAAAAAAAGCCCAGTCTGGCCAGTGTGGCTCCGTGGTTGAGCGTGGACCACGAACCTGGTCATGGCATGATCCCCGGTCAGGGCACATGCCCGGGTTATGGGCTCAACTCCCAGTGGGGGGCACGCAGGAGGCGGGGGTTAATGACTCTCCCATCACTGATGTTTCTCTCTCTCTCTCTGAAGTCAATAAAAACATATTACAAAAAAAACCCCCAAATGGAAAACAGTGACCAGCGTCAGACCCGTCTGCTTGACCCGCTTCCCGGGTCCCCGGCTGCAGCCACCTCTCAACCCCAGGCAGCTCCCTTTCGGAGCCTCCCGCGTCGCCCTCGCTCCCCAGCGGGACACCCCGATATCCCCCCCGCGGCAGCAACCGCTTCCTGACCAGGCGCAGGAGCCTCTGGACAGGTCACAACCTTCCGGACCAAGACCACTGTTTTTCACGCCGTGTTGAAGCGCTATCCGCACAGACAGGTGTGCGGGTAAGAGGCTAAGTGTACCCGTGACCACGTTTAAGAATTCCACACACCTGCGCGCCCAGCCGCGCCCGCTCCCAGCCCCGCCCCTGGCTGCGTCTGGGGCACAGCCAGGCCCCCCCCACTGGGTTTCACCTGCCGGACGCCCCCTCCGGCCACCACGCAGGGGAAGCCCAGCTGCTCGGGGAACTGCCCCCTGTTCTCACACAAAGAGCCCCCTCAGGAAAAGTCATGCACGTGTGCTCACATAATTGGTGGCCCACCAGGACTTCAGCTTCAGGTACCACTGTAATTTGGGGCCGAGGCTGACAGCAAAATCTTCGGCGAGGGCCGTCATCCGCTTGAAGTCGGCCTCCTTCATGAGAGGCCTCACCGACTCCAGGTACTGGGGTTGACGGGAGAAACACGCCAAGTTACAACCGCTTCCTTAGAGAACACGTACGCACACGGCAAAGACGGAGGCGCCTTCCCCCAAGGGGGTCTGCCGGCCCTCGCGCCCGCTGGCTAACCCCGGCGCTAAGCGACGTTTTGGGTTACTGATAATTGAACGGTCACGTGAGCCTTTTCCTTTCGTGTCCTACGAGCTCCCCAGATCCTGGGCCGCCAGAAACTCACCAACGTGACTTCCGGGTGGACAAGATCCCTGTGTGGTTACCAAGGAAAATCCCAGTGGCGTCTTCCCTGTGTTACCTGGCCCCTAACGAGAGCCCCACTCCCACCGAGGCTACGACGTGATGACACCGGGGAGCGCCGACCGTGGGGCAGTTCTGCCCCAGCGCCCAACACGCCAGGACAGAGAGGAGCAGCCGGAATAAAGACGGGACAGGACGGTCCCGCCACCAGGCAAGGCCAGCTCTCCAGGTCCGGATTTGACAACATTGAGGACGTACGTAATGCCGCAGAATTATACACTTTCAAACGGCTAAAACGGCCCCAGCCGGGTGGCTCGGCTGGTCGGAGCGCCGTCCCTTACACCAAACAGTGGCAGGTTCAATCCCCGGTCAGAGCACGTGCCCGGGTTGTGGGTCTGAACCCTGGTCGGGGTGTGTATGGGAGGCAACTGATCGATGTCTCTCTCTCTCTCTCTAAAATCTATAACCATGTCCTCAGGTGAGGATTGAAAAATAATAAACTGGCTAAAATGGTCATTTTTATATTATATTTGCCACAATTTAAAACAATTAGTAATGGAATCCAGCAAAGCCACTGAATTGGACACTTGGAGGGAATTGTATGGTATGTGAATTATCTCTCAATAAAGCTGTTTTAAAAACTTGCCAAGTCGTTTCTCTACCAAACTTACGCCTTTTATTAAAAAAAAACACCTAAGATGTGCTGATACCTTAGGGGAAACGATTCCTGCAATGGCCCTCGGGCACTGCTGGGAGTGACCCGTCCCAACAACGGTAAATAAACCGACAACTGCCATTAAGTCAGAGCCCCCAGCCCCGCGGACGACTGGAGGGACACCCACCCTGCTCACGGTGTCCTTCACCGAAGGGACCGGCAGGCGCGGCAGGGACGTCTGAAAGCTGTACAACATGGGCTTTCGGCCCGAGAAGATCTTGACCATCCCCTTTAAAAAAAAGAAAAAAAGATGCAGATTAAAAGCCGAGACGATCGGAAAGATCTGACACCAGTTCTCAAGGGTCTGCGACGTCCAGGTTCCTGGGGGGGTTCATTTCTCCTCTCGTCTGCTTTCTGCCCCAACCTCACCGGCCTCAGCAAAGACACAGGTAACCGGGGACGACAGCCAGGTAACCCCAGAGACGAGCGAAAGCCTAGGCCTGACGGACGCCTCAAGGCGTCCCACCCAGTCCCGAGGTGTCCGGCTCCCCAGGGTCGCCACCTGGCTGCTCCCCTGCACGTGGCGCAGGTTCACCCACCTACTCCTGAGGCTCCTCGTTTCGGGATCGGCTTGAGGCTCTGGCAACAGCGAGGAGGGGCTGAGCCGTGGAGCCTGGACCTCCAGCCGCCCCCGGAGCAGCAGTGCGGCCCTTCTGGTCACTGTGGCGCCCAGTGGCCAGCACCCTCGCCTAACAGCGGCCCCTCCTTTAGGCCGCCACGATCTAACCCTGGTGTCATAACCGGTCATCTCACGCAGACCGGACCGCGACGGGATTTCCAGGGCTCACGGGCCGCGTGGGGAGGGGGGCGATCCCTGATGCTGAAGGGCGCCGGAACCACTGGGCAGCAGCTGTGAATGTCACCCCGGGGACGGTCACTGCACCTGCTTTGTAAAGCGTGGGAAACCGCCTCTGCATCCCCGCTGGGTGTTAAATTCTGCTTCTCCGGAAATCGGAAAACTCAGTCTAAGCAAGAGCCGGAGCCGGTTTGAAAGAGAGTGTCAGGCGGGGTGTGCGGTGGGCTCGAGAACGGGGTGGCTCCCGGGCCTCTCACCGGTGGCCCCGGGAGGGCGGCGATCAGCCCACAGGTGGGGCCAGCGTCGGCCGACAGGGGCAGACACCCCCGCGCCCGGCGGAGGGCGGCGACTCTCGGGCCAAGGGCCTGGAGAGCTGGTGGAAGTTACTCGGAGCTCAGGGTGAGTCAGGGAGGCCGGGAGGCCTGGTCAGCGGGGAAGCCACTTAGCCGTGACCTCGAGTTAGAAAAGCGACAAAGAAGTGGCGCTTTCTATTTCACGGACGACCTGAAGGACCAACCTAACGGACATGAACGTGAAACGTTCAGAACTCCCTAACATTCACGAAAACATTCTTTGGCCCGAACTTATGAGTCACGGTGGAGTCATCCTCTCAAAGCAATTAGAGGTCGACTCCCGAGTCGCCAAGGTCAACGGGAGAACAGGTCTCGTGAGGATCTTTATGTATAAAAAGCAAAAGCCCCCCGCACGAGACACCAGGCTAAGGGAGATGAGCCAGACGCCGAAGGACAAATGCCACGGCCTCACCGATCTGTGGAACCTACAACGGCCCGCGGGACAGGCCAGCGCACAGAACAGGGCCCGCCCGGGGCTCGAGAACAGGGGCGCGACCGGTGAAGGGTACAAAGCGTCAGCTCCAAGAAAGGAGTCAGCTCTGGAGACCCACGTACAACAGGGCCTAAGGCTAAAGGAGAAACGGGGGGGCCGGGGAAACTTTGGGGGGCATGTGATGTGTGTCACTGACAGTGGAGACGGCCTCCCAGCAGGCTGCCCAGGCCCCAAGGCCACGGCCTTCCCGTGGATCACGGGACCCCCCAGCTCTGCGCCGCCCGCGTTTCATTACCATCCAGACTTTGGTGGCGCGGCTCATCTTGCCGTGCTCGGTGAACATCCAGCCGTGGTAGGAGAGCAGCACCTTCAGGGAGTATCGCATGGTGAAGATGAGGGCCACCCACAGGCCCGTGCCGAACAGCACGCCGCTCACCACGTTCTTCGTCTGGCTGGACATGGAGCCCCTAGCGCGACACGAGACAAGCGGGGGACGTGTGGGCGGGCGG